TAATAACTTTTTGTTTCTTTCAGCTTCCATGACAGTCCAAAGGCTGAATTGTTGCTTTTTCTCCCCTCATTTAACAGGTTGAAAGTTTAGATTGAGAAACGTTCTTTGTATCTTTATCTATTGCTCACATATCATTTCTTCTGGATAAAAATAAATTTTATAAAGGGAACACGTGGAACATGTAGCCAATTCTTGGTAATTGCTGCAGAACTTTTTTTTTATAACATTAAAAACTGTCTAATCAGTTTATGCTCAAATATTATATTTTTCTTTTTTAAATGTCATATATTTAAAGTCATATATTTAAAGCAACTTATCAAACATAAAACTTCTCACACCTAAAGCAGTTCATATATTAAAAACCTAAGTTTATCTATAACCTTTTTTTACTTTTTTTCATCAAGGCTTAAGTGCTTCTCTTTTAAATAATTTCCCCCCCTTTATTTACTCTAGTGTAATGCTAATCTTGCCCTGTGTTAAATGTCCCCAAGGGAAAAATATTTGGATCTAATTATAGTGGTAACACAATTCTCAACAATTTGTTTTACTTGACTACTTGTTAATTTAATTACTTAAGACCGTTTCGCAGAACAATTTTAAAGTAAAACATAGGATTGATAATTTACCGCCTGATGCTTTCACCACTACACCACACTGGCTCTGCATAAGCGTCTTGAGACTAAGAAGAAATGCTATTGTTAAATCCAACACAATAGATAAATCCAAATGAAGCTAAGGGTCATTACTGATGAATATTCTTAAATGAGTCAGATGAACAGCTTCATATTACTGAATATATAAAATGAAGCTGTTGATTACTTGATTCAAATAAAGGCTGTAATCTAGATGTCAACGTTGTGACAATTAAGAAATTGCAGCCATTTTACCTTTTGCTTTCTTTGTGCTTTTCTGTTGTTTGGGATTCTCAGATGTAGAAGGGGGAAGGGGAAATGCTTGAGCTTTTTCAGTTAGCTTAAACAATTGCAGTTGGGTTAACTTCAAGGTCAATTTTAGATAAAGTTTTGGCCGGGCTGAAAAGTAGGAAGGAGAGCCAGCGTTTAGATTAATTGGTGAATGTGATTTATGACAGTCTTTCTTGGGTGGGAACTGCAACTTGTTACATTGTATCAGAGGGGAGGAAACTTTAGTCTTGGGTTCAACTATGTAAGTGCCGATACTTTGTTTCCTGAATAAAATGTTCTTTAAGGAAGAAATCTTTGCCTTGAAGTTCTTTTAAATGGCTTCATCTTTGGAACCATGACACTATCACTACATGTTGAGAAATAAATTATGGAATACATAGTAAGATACAATATGTAGATTAGTTTCTCTCATTTGTTTCTGATCAAATATAAGAACACAGAAGGAATTTTATAGAGTACCATGTAAACTAACATTTGGTAAATTTGATGAGTGTCAGATAAATATGAAAACCAGCATGTAATCATTACTTTAGTCAGCAGTCACATGCTTGTTAGGACAAAGTAGGGTTGTCCACTACCAGTTAGTAGTTAGTTTGACGAGAGGTTGCATCTGCTAAAAACAATGCAAGAGAATACAACCTAGTGTAACTATGTTGGTTGGGTTGCAGAATTAGGAGTTATATGGGTTTTCCTAAATAACAGGAAGGATATGTTTGGACTTAATCAGTTATCAGTAAACTATCTCCTATGTTCCTAATGTTTCTACTTCTGGGAGTTTGGTATTTTCAGTTTTCACTGTTATATTTCTTTCATATTCCCAGTCTTCCTTCTGCTTATTTTTTTCTCTTTTCCTAATACAACCTGTTATTCTTTCCCTGCCTTTTCTTTGTGTTTCTTTTTTCAAGTATAAGGCTCATAATTAAATTTAATAAATGTTAATAAAACTTAAATCTATTCTGGCTGCTTATTGAGGCATCTTGTATTGTTTCTTTTAGAGGCTGAGATGATATTGGTCATCCAAAAAAAAGCAAACAGCAGTCAGAATTAGAATAAAAACATTTCAGTGCAAATAGCCAGTGTTCTCATGGGTGACTGAGTTCTTGCTTGGGTTATCTCAAAAATAGCTTTTAAAAAAACAAATAACTCTTGTAAACAGAATCCTTAAAGAAAAATGTTAGTGAATACTTAGGTATTCCATTTCTGTTAGTATCAAGGGACAGTTTCAATGTTAGCCATGATCTATAGCCAAAATTCTGTTGGGGTCAGTGATAATACTGCAGTTATCTTCAGCTGTTCCTTAGGAATAATCTCTTTGGAACTACTGCAAAGTAAATATCAATCAGCTTGGGTCTTCATGGTCCAAGTGAACTTCACTCCTGCTGATGTTTTAGCTAAAGGCTTCTAATTAGTGCTAAATTACCAACTGTATCCAGTACATTAACACAGTGTCAATTAATTAGCATAAGATTAACATACATTTACTTTTCAATGAAATATGATTGCAAAAGAGCAAACTGTTTAGCAAAATTGAAGGCACCTGTGCTACTTTCTTTCTCTGCCATTGAAGCCTTCTCTCCAGCTGAGCACAGCAGAGGTGCCAATAAAGCTGCAGCCTTCATACTAGCGTGGAAGGTGATGTGTGTTTCCGAGCTATAAAGCCACCAGCAAACTATCCCTACACTAGCCTAGGGGTATCCAACCTTGGCAACTTTAGGGCTTGTGGATTTCAACTTCTTGAATTCCCCAACTAGCATCTGGGAATTGAAGTCCACAGATCTTCAAGTTGCCAATGTTGGACACCCTTGAAATAGCCAAAGAAAAGTACAGTATGTGTTTTTCCCCTTCAGAAGAAGCGAATGGACCAAAAGATATGAAAAGCAGTATAGCAGCCCAGTAAGACAAAGCACAACAGAAAAAAGAGCTCTACATGCTGGAAGTTAACAAAAAAAGAAGAAATATCAGAGACGAGACTTAAGACAGAACAGGTTTAAGAAAGAAATGTTGATGCATAATAGTAATAAGTATAAAACTAAGTATATAGGTAATTGTAATAGATATAATATGTAATGGTATAAACATTCATAGTAATAGTAATTGAAGGGCAATATTGTGATTATCATTGTAATAGTATAAAGATAGCAATAGAATAGATGAAGCACTCACAAATCACTGTGAAAACAAAAAATAAACCATGAGAATTTCTCCTATATAACAAGATTGGCCCAAATTCTCAACTTAAAGATTTTGGGCCAGCCTTCTTGTTATATGGGATAATCTCCCATGGTTTATTTTTCATTTATCTTTTGTGAGAGAATGAAATTTGACCAGTGAAATTGCAGAGGATATTTACACTTTATTAAACAGATTTGTATGCTTCCTTGCTGCCTTTCAATCAAGCGCCTCAGGTGTATTGGGAATGCCTGTTTTAAGACAGAGGGAATGCAACATTTAGAGTGGAAAAATGGAGAAGAGGGATGAGGCATTTTAGTACCACTAGCGGAGTGGCATGAATGTGTCATTTCCATTAATTCCAGTTTCCAAAGCTTCACATTTTTGCATCTTGATCAGAACTTAACAATAGCTTGAACTATTTTAATCAGTGATGCATCTTACAAGCATGATTAAAAGTGTTCAGAAAATTGATTGTAAAATCAATTATATGACATCATGCCATCTGTATGCTATGACTTGGATTTTTTTAACACAAAAAGAACAATAGCCTGATAGTGTTAGTCCATTACAAACACTCAGATTTATTTTTAAACAACCAGACAAATACACATAAGTACTTAGAACAAAGGCATATTTGTGCCACATAGAGATGGATGTTATTCTAGGATTCACAGCCAAGCAGACTTTTTGCATGCCCTTATTGGGCAGGTCAAAGTTATAAGAGTACAGGTAGTCCTTGACTTACAACAGTTCGTTTAGTGACCATTCAAAGTTACAATGGCACTGAAAAATGTGACTTATGACCATTTTCACTTATTATCTTTGCACCATCCCCATGATCATGTGATCAAAATTTAGATGCTTGGCAACCGGTTCATACTTATGACTGTTGTTGTGTTCCATGGTCATCTGATCACCTTTTGTGACCTTCTGACAAGCAAACTCAATGGGGAAGCCAGCTTCACTTAACAACCTGGTTACTAACTTAACAACTGCAGTGATTCACTTAACAACTATGGCAAGAAAGGTTGTAAAATGGGGCAAAACTTATTTAACAAATGTCTCATTTAAGAACAGAAAATTTGGACTCATTTATGGGCTTAAGTCGAGGACTATATGTATTATCTAACTCAAGACTATTTTTGTACAATCCCAAATTGGCAAGTGTGAAGATGATTAAGCAATGTATATCAATCTGCTTTAGAGAGACTGGGGAATTAAAAAAGGGCTTTTTTTAAAAAAAAAAATTGTTATTGTTGTATACAATATGTTGACATTATTCTCAGTGTCCATGGAGCTATACTTCCCTACAGGTAGTTGTCACTTAGTGACTTTTTCGGACATATTTACAACCATATTTACAACCTTCACAATGTCTCTGTCTGTATCTCTCACTCTCATGTTACTGTAAGCCAGTTGTGGTTGCATGATTTTCTACTTAGCAAGTGCCTCACTTAAGGACTGAGTTGCCAATCTCATCTACAGTCACTAAACAAAAACTGCCTGTGCAGCAAATATAAAATTGTGGCAAAGTATTTAACTATTCCAGAAAAGTGGATTGTTTAATGTTTGGCTGTACACCCATGAATTCAAACTAAATCAAATCTGAATTGGTTTCATAGTTGAATTCCCTGTGGACAGTTCTAGTATGTATTTAAATTTAGTATCCATCATATCAAATGTTATAATCAACAGAACATATATGTTTACATGCAGTAAGTTTCATCAACTTTAATGTGATTTTATATATTATATTTCAGTTGAGAAAATTAGATGCAAGTTGATGTGGGACATGGCTTCTTTTCTAGGTGTTACTGAAGAATATTTGTACACCAGAGCATCTGTAGAGTTGGCAGTAGGCTCATTCATGCTGTCTAAGCTTCTTGATCCCTGTGGTTAGGCTTATCACTGTACCTTCTTAAATACTTGCTTACACTTGACACCACAAGCTCTAATTTCCTGAAAAGGAAAGTTCGTTTTTAGCTGCTATTTCTTCAGGTCTATACGTTTCTCGTGCAAAACCTTTGCTGTCTAAAAAAAAAAAGGCATATGCTATTAAACTCAAAGATTAAAACAGAGAGAATCTTGGCTTAATCTTAAACATTCATTGCACGACATTTCTTGAGGGGTCCTTGGTGCTCTCTGAGCTTGGTTATTTTCTTGCAGATGTTTCATTACCTAATCTATAGTGTTAGAAGTGACTACTAGTGCTAGTAGTGATTGCTAGCATTGATAATGTTACCTAGTTTGGATAATAAAATGTCTGCAACCAAGTTCAGAGAGCACCAAGCAACCTTCATTTCAACCCTGAGCTACAAATATTTTCCTCTATTGTGTGACATTTCTTGTTTCAGTCCAACTCACCTTTCAGGATTGCTGTGAAGATACAATGAATATGTAAAATGAATGATATAAATTGGCTCAAATTCTTTCTTTCTCAAACACAGACATTTTACGTGTAAGATTTAAGTATTTCAATTAGACGTCATCTATTAAATGCCATTGTGTGCAGCAATGGATTCAGTTTTGCTGGATCACATACTTTTATTGAAAAGAATTTTGTAATATAGAATCACTTTTGAAATATCAAGTGCTATTTTTTGGAGATTTTAGAATTCCCTATTTACATTTAACATCAGCAGTCAGTAGCTTCAATGATACTTAAACAAAAAGAATCCAGGGACAAAGCATCAATAATTTTTTATAAACCACAGTCCAGCAGACTTCTAGGTTAAGCATCTCTGCCCATTTGCAGCAGTGAGGAGGGCAGATTATTTGAATCTCTCTTGTCTTGATACTTTAAGTTACTTGACTACCCATCAAAATAACCCTTAACCAATAATTACAAGTATGCGGTCATATTTCCAGCATGCTTATGTATTGTACTGAGTGGATTGAAATAGCAGCTTCCGGCTTCAGTTATAATGTCTTGAGAATAAATTCACAGGTAGGAGGATGTCATTCCAAAGAAAAGGATCTTAGAATCCAGTCCTTGAAGAATGAACAGGTATCTTGTTACACCAAGAATGTACTTTTGGTTTGCGATGGTTACTATTAGTGGAGTTTGGGCTATTAGAGGAACACATAGATGGATAGGATGAAAATAGTAGACATTACACACTGTTCAGTTAGATATTTCTTGGAGGAATGAATAATCAGGATGAACACTGGATGTTCCATTTAGGTAGTTAAGCAGTTGGTTTAAACCAGGATGCCACAATGGATTTCTCAGTAATCATATCTTTCCCACAGACAGAGCTGAATAAGGCAGAGCTGAATAGTCTCAGTGCATTGATGAGGCAATAGAAAGGTTTTAGATTTATGAATTATTGAAATACTTCAAGGACAAGGCAGGTCTGTAGAAAATGGACATGCTGCACTTAAACCAGGAGTGTACGAGCAAGGTGGACACATAAAATGAAAAAGGGGAAGAACAGTTTTTAAATTGATCCCAGGAGAAAGCTGGCAGGATGGAAAGAGCTGATTCTGGAAAAAAAATTATTCCCAGAAGAAGAGGATGACTTTTTGTGGAAAATGTTTAGAGGAATCAGTGCAGTCAAAGTCAAATTTAAGAAGGAATGTGCCACAGGAAATCCAAAAGGTCCTTATATGCCAATGCTAGGATTCTCCAAGCTCGAATGGAAGATTTGGAGTCCCTGAGCATAGATACATAGTCTTGTAGAAATCTCATGGAATGGAAATAATTTTGAAGAAAAAAAAAAGCAAGAAGAAAGGTTTAACTTTGCTGAAAAGAAACCAGCATGGCTTCTGTAAAGCTAAACCTAGTCTCCCTAAGCTACATTTTTCTGATGGTGTCAACAAGTCTGCAAATCTAACAGATAGCATATGCTTAGATTTTCAAATAACAGAGCCTTTGATAATTCTGTCACCAAAGGCTCTTGGACAAAACCCAGGCATTGGATAAGAGCACAGGTGGTCTCATGGTTTAGAAAATGATTAAAATACAGAAAGTAGAAATAAATAGATAGCTCTCTTTTTAAATTGTCTGTTTGGAATCACCCACTGTGGCATCCTGTACCTGTTAGGAATGGAAATTTTCTATTTGTATATATATATAAAGTGAATACTATGGAATAAACTAGCCTTGTTTGTTTAAGATGGCAAAATAAAAATAAGATTGTGAAAGAACTTCACCACATTAAATAAATTGGCTTCAAAATGGCTAATGTAGTTCTGGATAAACAAATGCACCTTAGCACAAATAATAACTAGGACAGATTTCTACGTCCTTGGCTAGAACTTGAATAACCCAAGAATACCGGGCTAAGATGTGATTCTTTTTTACTTGTTTTTCATACTTATTATTCAATGATGATGATGATCACATCAACAGATTCAGAATTTTCTCTTAGACATTAATTTGATCTGAGTTGGTGCTGATGGATCCTGGGAATTACAGTAAACCTGATAAAATGTTAACACAGGATACAATTGCTCTAAAGAAAGGCAAATTCCATACTTTGCATTATTAGGAAGGGAACTGAAAACAGAACTGCAAATATAATAACCTCCTTGCACTAATTCATACCTTGGGAGCAGCGTATATAGTTCTGGTCACAAACCTTATAAATTGTAGGCAATCAAAATAATTAAAGGACTGGAGCAATTTCTTTTGATGAAAGGTTGTGGCAACCGGGTCTTTTTAGGTGGCAATGTGAGAGGTAATGGAATAAGGATAGAGTTATATAAAATCATGCATGGCATCACTATGATAATATAAATACAAGTTTTTCTTCCTCACTCAGAAGTTTAGAATCGAAATGTAATGCGGGACATTCAGGATTAACAAAAGCAAATCTTACTTTTTCTCATAAACACAAGAATTGGGGAATTCACTGTGCCAGCAGTTATAGTAATGTAAGTTCATTTGGATGCTTTTAAAAAGAGACCAGAGATATTTATGGAGAATTATAGAGTATCAATGGCTACTAATTTTGATGACTGTTTACTACCTCTTGAATCATGGCACTGTGCCTTAAATACTTGTTGCTAGAAGCAAGAGGGGAAGGATTACTGCTGTTAAATCAAGGTTTCTGAACGTCTGAAATGCATCTGTGACCTAGAATGCTAGACTGGATGGGCTTATACTCTGATTCAGCAGGATGCTTTTCATGTTATTTTCTCATGTCTTTGATTTAACACAAAAAATCAGACTTGTATCTCTGTAGGAGAGACTTTAGACAATGGTACCAATATATTTTAAGAGATAAATTAGCTGGATGCTCTGAACACAATTTTCTCAGTCAGAATTGGAGCTTTTGATGTAACTTCTCAGAGAATAAAAATATTTCTGGGGTGAAGGACTTAAAGGGAATATGTGATCTGAATGGAATTTGAGCAGGAAGCAGAGGAGCACTTTGGATTTAAAAATGGGTCAGCTGGAATGGAACTAGTTCAACAAAACAAAAAAAGTAAAATGCCATGTATTGTTCTCTGTTGTATCAAATGAATTCAGTTACAAAATAAATGCAGTAGGAAGAGCAACACAGAAAAGGCTATCTATAGAAGAGAAAAATAGGCATTCAATTAAAAGAAGTTATGAATAACCATGCTTGACAAGAACAGAGAAATGAAATCTAGAATGCTATGGAAATTAACTTAAGAAAAATGTGTACATTAATTGACTTGAAACTGCTGACTTGAAACTGAACTGCCCGGAAATAATCATGAACAAACTTCTCAAGCTTATGGCAGATCATTTAATAGACATTGCAAAAGGATTAATTAACATTTGGAATAGTGCCTGGCATTCAAGAGGACATAAAAATATTATTAGTGAAGCATCATGGAATAATTCTTGTGTCAACTAGATGTTTTGCACATGAAAAGATTTTTCAAAAATACGAAAGTGTGTAGAGCAGACATTAAAATATATTAATAAAAAAGCATTCATATATTTGAAAGGTACAAGGAAAGAGAAATAAACATTTCAGAAGCAGTTTAGAGAAGTGATAATGCAAGCCTTACTAGGTATTGGTTGAAAATACAACCAATATATTTTAAGTGCAGTTTAAGACATAGGAGATGTTATGGGTACGACAAGTTCCCAATTACATAGGGAATCTCAAATTTATTTGGATATGGTAAAGCATGAAAAGCTGAAATCTGGCTATTTAAAGGATGATATTCTCTATTGTCAGCTACTAATGATTTTAAGTTCTGTGGTCCTTTTCTCCATCCCAACACATAATGACTTTCACAGTAGTAGGGTCCTACTCATGAAATGGCTGCCCCATAGAGGCATGGCTTGCTGACATTTTGGTGCCAGATTAACATGTTACTTGTTATATTTGGATTGGTTATTTTTTAAAATACGAAATCTCTTCATATTTGAGGTTTTAGCATCTTCCTCTCTGTTGCCTTAAATATTTAGCTACCAATCCAATTTAAATACCTAAAGGTTCACCTGGATGGTTATGCATGTATTATCCTGACCTAATAAGGAAATGCATTTTATAAGCAGCAAGTTCTGAGAATTAGTTTTGTAGGCTCTTGTGGGGAAGAGATCTTTCAATGCTATAAACAACTACTTGAGAAAGAAATAATACAGTTTATTAGGTGCTAGTAGCTAGGATTGTCAGAGATAATGGCTGGAAAGAAAATGATGCTTTCAAAAGTGAATTGCTCACTTTCATTTCCAAAGCTATAAATAATTTTGATCTTAAGGAAAAAAAGGAAGATTAAAAAGAGCAGCTGCTCTTTCTACATTACACACACACATTGTTTATGATGTACTGTTTAGGGTATAAAAATAACTCCAATTCAAATTTTCTTTATATCACAACTGGTGTGAGGAATGTTCCTATTACATGCTTTCACTGATACAGAAAGATTGATACAGCAGGAAAAAAATGGACAGTTTAATAGAATGCCTTCTTCTATCTAGAACAATGCTGTTTATGAAAAAATGTAGAAAATTGTTGGTATTGCTGAGAAATATTTCAGATTTCCACCTGTGCTTAATTACTCTGGAAGTCAGCGGTGTGATGTTCAAGCAAGGTATTGATTACTGCATTTAGTAAATAAAGGAAAAGGATAGGAAAGAGAAGAAGAGAAGAATGTATTACATTTTAAATAATTTCATATCTGTACTACTGGGGTGAAAATGGTAAACTGAAATGGCTCCACTAAAAGCAGAGCTGATGATTGCGAGTTGTCCAGCTCTTCATAATTACTAGCTGGACATGGAGAGAACTTGAGATCACCCACAAGTTCTCCAAACAGTTGCTCCTCAAGGCAGCACTTTCCTACTGGCTTAGAGAAAGCCACCTTTGCTTGAATGTGGCCAATGTCTTTATGGACACCCGGTTTACATACTTCCTTTTCTAATCATTTTTGGAAATTGCTTGTTAATTGCTTTTCAGCTGTTAGGAATCTGTGGACTGATAAATTTCAGACCACACTGGGGAGTTTCCTTCAATAGCAAAAGAATTGATTCAAAAAGTACAACACATTTTAAATATAAATTTAAGTGCTTTAGATAAATAGGTATTATTTTGGTAGAAAAATAACAGGAACATGAAAAGAGCCCTATAGAGGGCAGTGCTCATCTGCCATCTCCATTGGCCATTGAGCCAATGCTGTCCAAAGATGTTTCCATAGTCATGTGACTAGCATGAGATCATGGAGCAATGTTACCTTTCCACCTTAATGGTACCTATTTATCTACTTATGTGTGCATGCTTTTGAACTGCTACGTTCATTTCATTTCATTTCATTTTATTCAATTTGTATCCCGCCCTTCTCCCGGAGGACTCAGGGCGGCTCACAACATTTTTTAAAACAAAAACAATCCCACAATCCCCGCCGAATAAAACCAATTAAAACCCAAATATTTTAAGTTGTGACATTTAAAATTTTCTAAAAATGAACCCGATTTAAAATCCACCCTAGGCCA